TTAGTCCAGGCTTGGGGAATGAGTGCTCACTGACAGCTTTTCCAAATGTCATCAGAGAAGGACTCTATCAACTCCTGCAAGACGTATGCAGATTATTTTCATAGTACCCCCTAAAAAAGCAACATACCAATTCACTGATGAAAGAACTGCCCAATGTTACACTAGACCAGAAGAAAATACCAGCTCCAAGGATGATTTTCCTATTGTACCGGTCACCAAGGTATCCAAAGATGGGGGCAGCCAGCATGTAACACAAGATGAAGACTGGAAATCCAAGAAGGGGCAAAGATAATATTGGTCAATTTATTTTGATCGTACATACTGCTCACCTCTCAGACAAATTCAGGTTATGTTTTAGGGCAGAGGTTAAAGACAGGCTGAATTTGTAGAACTAGTAGGTAGGCTGACATTTAGAAAAAGATACATGCAGATTCAAAAAACCTATACAAAAATAAAACATGTGTGAATTAATCAAGTTCTGTATTTCTTGAGAAACTCTTTCATCTTTTGTGATTCCCATACTGTGGGATTTTTGAAGGACTCAACTCCAGTCTTCCCTGAACCAAAGACTTTCAGTTTTGCATTATAGTCAGCCTGCCCACAAGTGGAAGTGAGCAATACCACACACGAGTAGCAACTAGAAGAAATAAGTAACTAGACTGTATTTTAGGAACAGACCACATAGACACAAAGCAAAGTAAACATCTGAACTTATGAGATTTTATTACCTGTTTGCAGTAGACCTGTATCCCCATCGCTAAGCTCGAAGTATTTCTGTATATCTAACAGGATTCCTGCAACACAGTCAAACACAATGACAGCAAAGTACCCTGCTCATTCCTTGTAATTCTATTCATGTGCCAATGCAAAGATTTATTTCAAGATCAGGGCTTGCAAGAACTGCAGCACATTTAGCTTGCTAGTTTACATGTAAACCATTACTTACCACAAGCACAGATACACAGAGAACTAAATTCTTATCACTATAGATAAAATTCATGATCTTCCACTATATAGGTCCTATGAGAGTCAGTACACCCACTATTTCAATCACAACTGTTCTGTTTCTTTCGCACCATTAGAACATAAGCACATGAACAGTTTACAGTTCAAAGATTAATGGAGACAATGTGGAATAAGACAATGACAAAGTTTTGCAGCCAGGAGATTGCTATCTTCAAACAGCTAATCCTAAAATTTTGTTAATGCCCTTAAAATGTTAAGATGAGTTGAAATTCCTTTTGCTAAGAATAACTTAATTTTTTCAGTATATACAGTGTTCAAATTAGTGCATGTTGGATTTTTCAGGATGCAAACGGCTACAGTCTTCATTATCCAATGGTGGCTAAATCAGCCCACAGCCAGGGAAATACTACTGTAATTCACATCATGGTTCTGCTTGTGTAATTCTGTTCATATTTCCATGACAATTTTGCAAATATATAGATAACTATATATAACTA